AAATCAGTAATATGAGATGTATTTACCCTATTTCGTCTAAGGTGATGAAGGACTGGTAGTAGAATTTTCCTACAATCATATAAGTACATGACTTGCTATGCCCTAGTCTCTTGTGTGCCAACACACAAATGTTGTGGTATTGCTTGCTTTGATTACGTTCAATGTTGAACCACAACTTTTGTTAGTTGGCACACAAGAGACTAAGGCATAGCAAGTTATAGACATGGTATTACGGACAGAAACAGGATAGATGCGGTAGAGGCTAGAGCTAATTGACTAAAGATAGACGTGCTCCATGGATCACGTCTATGGTATCAAATGCGACAACTGTGAGCAGAAGTATGTTGGTGAAACAGGAAGAAAAATAGGCCTACCAATCAAAGAACATCAAGAACTCTGCAAGAACATGGGTATGGAAAGATTTGATATAGCGGAACACATTGCACGAACGGGGCACGAAATCGACTGGAAATCGACGGAAAAGCTGGCTACATATGGTGAAAATACGACAAAGCGCAAGACCGAGAGAAATCTAATAAGGTCCTGATCAGCGAAAACTTTGCATATTGCCTAAACAAACTCGGAGAAGACCAGGCAACAGTAAGATCAGCAAAAATAAGACGACTGGCTCAAGGTAACATCCTTAATTTTAGAAAAAGAAATCGCAGAGACCAGGAAGGAATAATCAGAATCTAAGAGGAGGATAATCAAAACAATTAGAAGCACAACATTTGTAAATTGGCACACAAGAGACTGGAACATAAGAAGTGATAGACATGGTATTATGGATAGAAACAGGATGGACGCTGTGGAGACTAAAGCTATATGGCTAACAATAGACGTGTTTGATCATAGACGTGATCCATGGAGCATGTCTATCTTCAGTCAACTAGCTCTAGCCCCCACCACATCTATCCTGTTTGTGTCCGTAATACCATGTCTATAACTTGCTATACCTTACTCTCTTGTATGCCAACTAGCAAACGTTATGGTTCAACATTAAACGTAATCAAAGCAAGCAGTACCACAACATTTGTGTTGGAACACAAGAGACTAGGGCATAGCAAGTCATGTACTTGGTATCAGGGATAGAAACAGGATAGACGCGGCAGAGACTAGAGCTAGTTGGCTGACAGTAGGTCTGTTTTACCATAGACGTGGTCCATGAAGCAAAGGCTTGACCATTACATTTACTCCAGGTATTTAGCCTCAAGTTAACCTAGCAGAAACCGAATGTGGGCGATAACGCCTTGAGTGAAATACTTAAACCAGGGTGATTTCAGACGGATCCCACAAGACAAGATGGGGACTCTGATAAGACCTAGGGAAGCAGGACTGCGTAACAATAGGGCAGACGCTGATCAACATGCCCAGTACAAGGGTAAAAGTGAGTGAGAACGCCAGCGTGAAGTGTGGAGGGTTCTCATGAAATCATATCAAAAGGGCACACCACCCTACATTTACATAAGCAAGTAAAGAAAAAGAAAGTTATAGTGAAGGCGTGATACGAGGATATAGGAGGGGTGAAGAGCCCAAGACAGAAGGAGAGATACCACTATTTAGCCCACATTTGGTCAAAGAATCGGCTTCAGTTGTCTCTTTGATGAGTTATATTATGGTGCTAAGAATGGCAAGGCTCACTGACGATGCCGACTACGATGCCGGCAAAACTTCTCGGAATGTACCGCGTACACGGTCCGACTTTGAAAATTATCATGCATACAATGGACTCCGGACTAGGTGCTTTCCTCCAAGTCTTCCTACCATTATGACCAAGTTGCGAAAACAAGGTCAAACAACTTCCATGTAGAATAAAGTTGAAGTAGCCAACAAAACCATGGTATACCAGATTTAGGTGTATAATAAAGCGACTAGGGAGCAGCCGGCCATATTTTCCCTTGAGTTAGCATGTTTTTTTTCTATTTCGCAAATTATAGATTCTTGCTTTGATAATGTCTGTAACAATACAGACAGAAACTTCGCACAGATTCATCTGGCCGCGGGAAGGTGAGCTGATGTCTTCTTCACACAATACAACAGTCTTCCTAAGCGACAATCCTCCTTCGGTTTCCGGTGAGACTGCATCATAAATTCCTTCTAACCAACTTTTCCTTCGAAATGGAAAGTCATGCCACAATAAATCCCTAAGCAATTTTTCGAAACCCAGTAATAATTCATAGCTTCGTAGTATAATTTAATACTTCTTAAAGATTCAACACCATTTGTTTCTATTTAACTAACGCCTGAACTTTCTTGATGAATAAAAGGCAACCGTATATTGGAATCGATGGCTTAAGTTTAGAATTAACATATCCTAGCTTAGGACCCTTTTCACATTCTATATTTTCGTTCTTTTTCACAAGCTCCAAAAAAAGCATAGTGAATGGTCTATCCATTTTTCGTATTGAAGTAGAGTTTTGAGATTACCAGTAAATCAGTTATATGAGATGTATTCACACTATGTCGTTTAAGGTGATGAAGGGCTGGTAGTAGAATTTTCCCACAATGACATGAGTAGAGCTGACGTTTCCATTGAACTTCTCGAAACTCTACTTCTCTACGAAAAACAAGTAATGTAGTCGATTGTTATAACAAAAATGCGTTTGCTTCATCGACAATCCCACCAAAAGAATGTGATATGGCAAGAGGCCTGGCCTTCCTTGATATTTACATCTGCTTTGTGACCCAAGTGCACTCGTGGCAATGTAACCGAGTGGTTAACGTGTAAAGCTCACATTCTGCACTGTCACGGTTCGACCCCCACTGGGGGTGTTGATAAGACCGATGCGAGATTGAAACTACAGTCCACCCTGGATTAGAACAACTTTTGGGAAAGCAAGGCTATGTGAAATTCAATGGAAACCTCAGCTTTGCTCATATAATTGTGGGAAAATTATACTACAAGTCCTTCATCATCTTGAACGAATTAAGGTGAATACATCTCACTTAGTCTATCAGTTTTGACAGTTGACTTGGATGAAAAGACAGATATGAAGGAAGATAGATTATGAGGAACGGGGTTGGTTGAAACTGATCTAACAAGATATAAGATATAACATCTTTGTTAGGATAGCGACGTAGGACAAACTATGGGATGACAACTAACTACAGTCAGTGGCTTCAAACATTTACGAAAGTTGATCGCAATACTTCGTGAAAAATGAACTATGTAACAGAGTTTTTGCAAAGGTGCCTTTTACTAGGATATTTGTGGATAAGCCAGCAAAATTTGTATAGGTAAAACTATAAACTCCAAAAAGCATATTGAAAAATTAAATTATTAGGGATAGAAGAACGAGAGAAACGGTGATGTCCATTGATAGTAAGCTAGTAGTAGATAAGTTTGCTCATAGACATGGTCCATGAAGTTAAGGCTTGACCATGAGATTTACTCGGTGCATATTCGGCAGTAATAAGTGAATTTGCAGCCTCGAGTCAGGTTGCCATGCCAAATTAAAATCCAGATGTTAGGGGCTTGCTCAGCGAGGCTGGTTGTATACGTGCTATCCAAGGTTTAAACATAGTGTAAAACAATACGCCGGATACGGTGGCAGCGATGGATCGAAATCAATTAAACAGGCAGATAGGGGTAGGATCCTAAGGAGCAAGAGGGGAACTTTAATCGGATCCAAAGGGAGAGGATTGCGGACTAAACTGCAGCCTTGGATCGAAATTCCCGGCACCGTTGGAGGGATGTGGAAACCAGCTGAGAGTGTTCATAGATTACAAATAGGTTTAGATAAACAACTAAGAGATTTTAATATTTAAGGAGTGATACAAGGATATAGGATAGGAAAATACCCCAGGACAGGAGCGCTATCACACCGTTTAGCAGACAATTGCTCGAAAGATTGACTTCAATCGTCTCTTTGACGATGCCGACTACGCTTCTAGCGAAATGTCTGGGAATGTACCAAGTCCACACTCCGACTCTGGAAATTAACCTGCATACTATGGACTCCGGACAAGGTGCGTTCCTCTAGGTCTTAATGATAATATGACCAGGTGGCGAAAACAAGGTCAAACGGCTTCTCACTAAATTATTACTTTTCTTTTTAAGTCTCGCAAACGTAATAGCTAAAGGTAGCATATGACTGAATTATTACTGCCTATACTGAAAAATGAAAATTGAAGTGCTCGTGCACCAGCATGCCTTGAACAAAGGCTAGAAGTAGAAGGTTGATAAATATATAATAAAAATATTTTATTCGTGCCTCTCACAAATCAGCCTTGTCATGGTAATTTATCTATGTTATTGATCTTTCTTAGTATACTTACCAGATTTTAGTTCTTCAGAGAACCCCATTTCGTTTAATATGATAAGGGGAATGGCAATTGAATTTTCCCACGATAGTATGAGTAGTATGAATTTCGCATAGCCCTGCTTTCCGAAAAGTTATCCTCATCCAAAGTGGAGTGTAGTTTCGACCTCTTCTGTCTCATCAGTTCCTTCAGCTGGACTCAAATCACGACAGCGCAGCGTGTAATCCATACACGTTAATCACTACGCCACATTGCCACCTTAAACGAAATAGGGTAAATACACCTCATATATGTGATCTACTCTTGGTCTCTAAAACCTACCTATACAACGAAAAATAAGTAATGTAAAAATTGCTAGAGTAAATACAACATTGGTTGAACGGCAGTCTCATCACAGAATGTGATGTAGGAAAATTCCTTGCCTTTATTGAAATTCACATATGTCCAGTAAACCAAGGGCATGCGTGGCAATGCCACTTAATTATTAAGGTGTTGAGATTATATGTTGTACTGTACTGGTTCGAGTACCACTAGGAGTTCTGATGAAACCTAGGCGATGTCAAAACTGCAGTCCACCCTGGGAATGCAAGGCTATGCGAAATTCAATGGAAACATAAGGCCCACTCATATCATTGTGAGAAAATTTAATTAACCTTATAATATTAAGGGAAATAGGGTGGATATACCTTATATATATATGATCTACTGGAAGTCTCGAAAACCTACTTATAAAACGCAAAATGGTGAGTTATTAAATAAAAAAGCATCAATGATACTGCATTCTTTCTGCAAAGCTTAAAGTGAATATCACAATATTTCACTTTTTTGATGATTCGGTAAAAAACGTGTTTGTTTCATTTATTATTAAATTAGTTAGTTCGTTTAAACAAGCAGATGAAGACGAATTGCTTAGTAAATGATAAAAATAATTTTTTTCAATACATATAATATTTCATACCCTTTGGAAGGCCAACTCCATAACCCTTATCATCTAGTAGGCCTCCCACCTGCATGAGATCACAATAGCGCTGCGTATAAAACTCGTTTAAGGTAGATTCCAAGATGTAGGCATAGCCACCCTTTCTTACACGCGCGATCGCCTCCTCTGTTTTGTTCATCATCAAGCCTTTTTGGAGGGTCATGAATTGCCACATCCGTTTGTAGACTGACAGGCTTGATTTCTAATCGCGTTATAAGAATTGATAAGAAGGGATCAAGTAATACTAAGATGAAAGCATGACATTCAATATTATAATTGGCAGATTGCATGTCATAAGCATATAAAATTGGCGGACTATATATATACATTTTATTATCTTTTAGTTTTGAGAGGTTGTTAATGAGTCTACTGTAATATCATACAGATAAAAAGATGTACTCTATGCTTCCTTTGGCTAAATTCAAAGTTATTTAATATTCGAACTTTAAATAAATGCGGAATAAATGTCTGGAAAATCTTCTGAATAAATAAAAAATGATTCATTGTATATTTGGATATATTCAAGGATTAAGATAAATATAAATAATAATTAAAGATAGATTACTACTTTTTCGACCTAACTGAGGAGCAGATGTTATAATGAAATACGGTTGATGGCGCATAATAATACCGTGACCTGATGTTTGCATACTTGAAGCAAAGGCTTGACAACGAGATTTACTCGGTGCCCATTTCGCACGGCGATAAAGGAATCTGCGGCGTCAATTTAGGTTGTCATGCCAAATGATAATCCAGACTTTAGGGGCTTGCGCAGTGAGGCTGGTGTATATGTGCTATCAAAGGCCTGAGGCACAGTGTAGAACAATGCCTTAAGTAGCACGGATATGGTGCAGCGATGGAGTGAAATCTTTGAAATAGGCACCTAGAGGAAGAACCCTACGGAGCAAGAGAGGAATCTGATAGGACCCGAAGAGAGAGGATTGCCGATTAAACCGCAACCTTGGATCAACACTCCCAGAACAGTGGGAGGGATGAGGAAACCAGCGGGGAGTGTGAATAAATAAACAAGTAAAAAATTGTGATATTGAAGAAGTGATACGAGGATATGGGATAGGTGAATAGCCCAGGACAGAAGGAGAGATATCACGACTGTTTAGCACACATTTTGTCTAAGGATCGATTTTACTTGTCTCTTTGACGAGTTGTAGTATGGTGCTAAGAATGGCAAGGATCACTGACGATGCCGACTAAACGTCTGGGAATGTACCAAGTCCACGGTCCGACTCTGGAAATTATCATGCATACTATGGACTCCAGACAAGGTGCGTTCCTCTAGGTCTCCATACCAATATGACCAAGTTGCGAAAACAAGGTCAAGCAACTTCTATATAATGAAAGGAGACCGCGGCCATTCAAAAGGCCATACATCCTGGCATTCACATCCCCGACTAAAATAAAGACTACCTACTTCATAGTAAACGGCAACATCCATGAACAAATATTTGGACTTCCTTTGGGATCGCCGCTCTCACCTCTATTGGCAAGTGTATACATGAAAGAATTGTAATATAATTGCATGACGTCACAATTGCAATCAAACATTTTGTCAAGTCAGGGGATACCATCAAGAAAAATCAATTCACCGATAATGCTGTTGGATAGGCTTAAGAAAGAGAGCGTAGGAGATCAGGAAAAGCTAACGAACAAGAGGAGGCTGGATTAGCTTTGGGTCTAGCCAGGTCTATTACACCTCTTATGAAATTTTAGTTCAAAAAGGGATGGGGAGTGTCTCCAAAATATAAGACGCTTGCACTCTACAAATCTGAAGTTAGAGGCCTAGAAACGAAGAGAGAAAAGGAAAAATAGTATTACCAAGTGTCCTAGTTAGAAACGGCCGAATACAGTATGGAGGGCTGACAATAGAAAGAAATCGAAAGACAGCGCGAGACAGAAAAATCTAAACTTCGAGAATCATAGAGAAGGGAAAAAAGATAAACGAGAAAACGTGACAAACCTAAACAGTATGTTAGCTAATATGAGATGTATTCGCCCTATTTCGGTTAAGGTGATGAAGGACTTGTAGTAGAATTTTCCCACAATTATATGAGTAGAGCTGACGTTTCCATTGAATTTCACATAGCCTTGCTTTACCAAAAGTTGTTCTCATCCAGGGTGAACTGCAGTTTCAACCTCTCATCGGTCTTATCAACACCTCCAGCGGGAGTCGAGCCATGCCAGTGCAGAATGTGAGCTTGACACGTTACCCACTCGGTTACATTTCCACGAGTGCCCTTGGGCCACAGAGCAGATGTATATATCAAGGAAGGCCAGGCCTTTTGCCATATCACATTCTTTTGGTGGGATTGTCGATGAAGCAAACGTATATTTGTTATAACAATCGACTACGTTACTTATTTTTCGTATGTAAGTAGAATTTCTAGACTACCAGTAAATCAGTAATAGGAGGTGTATTAACCATATTCTCACCAAAGGAATGTGATATGGCAAAAGGCCTGGCCTTCCTTGAAATTCACATCTGCCCTGTGACCGAAGGGCATTGGTGGCATTGTAGCCGAGTAGTTAACGTGTAAAGCTCACATTCAGCATTACCATGGTTAGACTCCCGCTGAGGATGTTGATGACTGCAGTCCATCCTGGATGGAAACAACTTTTGGGAAAGCAAGGCTATGTGAAATTCAATGGAAACGTCAGCCCTCTCATATCACTGTGGGAAAATTCTACCACCAGTCCTTCATCACTTTAAACGAAATAGGGTGAATACATCTCATATTACTGACTTACTGGTAGTCTCGAAATTTTACTTACATACGAAAAGTATGTTAGCTACTTGCGTAGTCTTCGATTTCAACTTCTTATTGGGCAATGAGG